ATGCACCACCTAGATTGCACCACATTGATTGTACCACCTAGATTGCCGCGCGAATTTTGCAAGAAATCACTGTTGTGGCTCCGCGCTGGCGGACGCATCTGTTATGCCTCCGGGGGGGGGGCGGCATCGTCGGGTTCTGGGAAACGAAAGTTTTCCAAAATAAACGTGAAGATGTTGGTTTGGTGAAGCCTTCTCGAAGGTTTCCTTGGAGCTCTCTGGAGGCGTTTCCGGGCACCGAGGATGATTTGTGGGGATTCGTTTTTGCCGTTTGGCTGTTAGGGGGAACGCTTGCAAGGCTGAACGCATTGTTTGGGGCCTCTAGGGCCGCTCTGGGGTCGCAAGGATGATTTTTGAAGCCGTCTTTGGCCGTGTGGGGGGCGTCCTTGGGCCGCCGTGGGGCCGCTTTGGCGCCTCGGGAACGGGGTGGGCCTCAAACCCGCCGAGCACATTTCGGAAATAGTTGAATGGATATTGGTGTATACGTAGTCATACACACGTGTACTTGTATATGCGTAGCACCCCGCAGTTGCGGACAAGAGCGAGAGGGCGGCGGGGAAGTCGGCAGTCGGCGAGGCTCTAAAGAAGCCCGCCGCGAGCGCCTCATTTTGCCAAATTATACAACGGGCACGCCGAAGGCGCCGACTTTTTCGTTAGAGCAATTCGAATGGGTCGCGGGTGGGTCGCGGGTGGGTCGCGCGTGGGTCGCGCGCCCGGTCGCGGGTGGATCGCGGGTGGGTCGCCGGTGGGTCGCAGGCGGGTCGCGGGCCGGGTCGCGGGGTGGGTTGCGGGCGGGTCGCGAGGTGCGGCGCGGGGTAGGTCGCGGGGCGGGTCGCGGGTGGGTCGCGGGTGGGTCGCGGGTGGGTCAAGCACCCTCTTCACGCCTCTCTCCCCCTCCTCTCTCGCCGTCCCTTCCAGAGCGTCATACAACACATCCTCCTTCTCTGCCTCCTCCCCCTCCTATCCAAAACCTTCCCTTTTTCCCCACCCACCCCTGCACAGATTAACTGTTGAAACGTCGTCCTCCACATCGTCCGTTTCGTTATCCTTCTGCTCTTCCATATTTCTGAATGACGCGCCGCTTCACATCAATACGCATGGCCGAGCATCTGTAGAACATGCCATGAGAAAGAGCATACTAAAAATACCGGAACATTGCCCAGGCCGACCCAATCCAGGAGGAGAGAAGGGGTGGTCACTCTCACACGAGAAGGACACAAGCGAGGGAAAGGGCGGGCGAGGCAACGCAGCCAGATCGGAGCAGCCGTGTCGTGAGCACCCTGATTCGAAGACACCCTGGGGACCATTGAAGACGCACCCTCTGCCCCTACGACCCGTGGGGCGTGCCGCCAACAAAAACATCTGCATTGCCCAGGATCCCAGGGAGAAGCACGAAGTGCGCAAAGCGCAACGCCCCAGCAACAACACGCGAAACGTCCTGACCTCACGTCCCCGGGGGTGGCCCCACAGGTGGCGTGGATTTGGCTACTCAGCGGAGGCTCGATCTCCACGGCGAGACAGTCTGGCGCTTGCCACCTAAGCGCGAGGATCTGGCCTCGTAGCTCACGCAGGTCCTGTGGCTGCCCCTGGATCTGGAGTTGCCCGTTTCGCATGTGTCGGCTTCGTCGTGGCCGCAGAAGTCGCAAGAGTTGCGCCTACCCCTGCTGGGAACGCCGCCCTTTGACGGCGGCGGGTGGTCCCAAAAACCGCCCTTCCAGCCCGCGCGCTTCTCCTTGCCATTCGTGCCAGCGTCCTTGCCTTTGTCTTGGCCCCTCAGTTCCAGGGCACATTTGGTCATGGCTTGGGGCCCATGCGTCACGAGAAGGTCAAGGCCGTATGCCTCCTGGGCCTGGGAAGTAGCCCGTTTGGCGCCCTGAGCGCGCTAGATCTGTCTGTGGCGCTGGTCCAACTTGGCGCCGCGTGACTCCCCAAAGCCGCCGCTTGCCATGTCATCGTGCTCCACCTTCCAGACGTCCTCTTTCGAATCGGGACTGTCATCCCCGTCGTTCTCTCCGTTATCCGCATCGCTCTCCTCGCCTTCCTCGTCGCATTCGCTTTCCCCCCGCCGTCGTGGTAGGTCTGCGGCGGAGGAGGGCACGCGCCGCCGGCCCGACGGCGCCCGGTCCCTGTGCACCTCGCAGGTGGCGGTGGGCGGACATGAGGCCCGTGACTGCTCCAGAAGGGCCTGGCCTGCGGACCATCTCGCCCCCGTCCTCATATTGGCCGCCAGCGCTCATGTCTATGGATGCCATCGCCGCAGGGTTTGTCACGAGCGCGCCTCGCGAACTTTGCGACGAACCTGGTGGCGGAATCCCCCGCGATCGCCCCCCCGCGCCTCGCCTGTACATTCCCTGGGGGAAATGAGACTCCCATGGCGGCGTACATGGTGATGATGATGACGGTGGTGGTGATGGTGGTGATGACGGGAATGATGCTGATGATGATGATGATGCTGTTGATGACGATCATGATCATGATGATGATGATAATGATATGATGATGATGCTGCTGATGGTTATGATGATGATGATGAGGAGGAGGAGGATGATGATGATGGGGTCGCACCGAACAACAGCTGATCCCAGATCCACTGTTGCTCGCTGAGCCAATGCGGGTCGCTGTGCCACTGCTACACGCTGATCATCTGGTTCTACACGATCCGCTGCTGGTTGCTGACCCACTGCCGGTCGCTGAACCCCAGCTGGCACCCGATCCGCAACTGGTACACAATCAACTGCTGGTCGCTGATCCTCTGCTGGTCGCTGGTCCACTGCTAATCGTGTTTAAAGTGCTGGTTGTTGCGTCTCTGCTGGTCGCTGTTCCGCTGGTGGTAGCTGATCCCCTGCTGGTCGACGATCATCTCCTGGTACTCGTACCACTGGTCTGCTGGTAATCGATGTGCTGCTGGTTGGTTGCTTTTTGCTGGTCGTGGACCCACTGGTGGTAGCTGGTCCATTGTTGGCACACGGTCTACTGCTGGTCGCTGATCCTCAGCCCATTGCAGGGACAAGGTGCGCTGGTGGTCGCTGGTCCTCTGCTGGACGTTGGCCCGCTGCCAGTCGCAGCTCCACTGGTGGTCGCTGATTGTCTGATGGTATGCGGTCCAGGCAGATTACTGGTCGCCGATACACTAGTGGTCGGCGCGCCTCTGCTCGCATTTGTGCCATTGATTGTGCTCGATCAACTGTAGGGCGCTGGACCGCTGCCAGTAGCTATTCCGCTGGTGGCAGCTGCTGACGCTGACACGCTGGCAGTCGTGGAGCCTCTGTTGGTCATCGTCGCCCTCGTAACCACCAGGTGCGGCTTGCCGCCGCCATGACGACGGCATCGGGCTTCTCCATGTCGTCCCTGTCCTTCAGTCCATACTTCTCGCAGTCCATCTTCTCGTCTGCCTCCTAAGTCTCCTCATCGTCTGCCTTCCTGTCATTCTCGGTTTTCCGAATCTCGTTTGCCTTCCTGGACCCCCCTGCAACCAAAGTCCCTTCGTAAACGCTCAAGTCGCGGTGGCAGTCCACGTCCTTCTGCGAGTCATCGTCAGCAATATGGCTGGGCACGCAGGTGCGCGAAATTCAGCAGAAGGGCCTGTCACGCCCTCGTCGACGCTGTCGTTGCTGCCATCGTAGCACGACCATGTACCAGGCGCAGCACAGTCTTCGGGCACCTACGACGCCAGCTGAAGAGCATCACGCGATAGGGATGGTTTTCGCAAGTGAAGCCTTCATGAAGGGGGTCCAGCTGGAGAAAGTCTGAGCTTTCCTCGACTGGCAGGTGGCCGTCAAGCCCCTGGCAAAACGCGTCGCAGCTGTGGTAGTACGGCATCCCTCTGACGATGTGTATGCACTCGCGGCTGTCTGAGATGCCGGGCTTCGCTGCCTGCGGTCTCTGGTCCCTTGTCGTACGTCCGCTGCGGGGGCCGCCGCGTGGCCGCCTCGAGCGTCTCCCGTCTCCAGGCGCCCGAGGCGCGCGGCGCGGCAGGCTGCGTTGGCGCCAAGCTCGGCCGCCTCGCGGGCACCTCGAGCTGCAAGGTCGCCCTGGTGCCGGGCAGGCCCCGAGATCCGGAGCGGTGGCGCGGGCATCGGGGCCTTGGGGGCCCCCGCCGCTCCCCCACCGCCCCCCTGCCGTGCCAGCGACCCCTGAGCGCGGACGCTCCTCGTCCTCCTCATCCTCCTCCTCTTCCTCCCCCTTCCGTCGCTCCTCGGTCTGATGTTCCTGCTCACCTTGCTTCCCACCCCATCTCACTCATCTTCCCCCGACCCATCCTCCTGCCCCTCTCACTCCAGCTCCCTTCTCCGATCGCGCCGCTTATCCTCATCCGATCCCTCCTCTCTCGCACCCTGAAGGTGGGTAATTAGGCGTCACAGATGGGGAGACGCCAGACCACGTCGATCCTTGCTAGGCCCATCAAGGGCCAGGATCAATTTAAATGGCCACCTGGCTTGGCCAGCGAAGCAGATGCGCCGATCCTGAACCCAGGATGGGCCTGGCCAGGATAATTAGGTGTGGTGCATTGGCACGCTTATGGGCACGGACACAGTGGGCACGACACCCAGCAACCAATGTTGCCCAAAACCGATAGCAAGCGCATTTGGGCATGCGACTTGTTCCTCAACTTGGACCACGCCCGCGGCGACGCCAACGGGAAATCGAGTTCCCGTACCCGTTTCGATCGTACCGAATGTATGTTTTGGGCCCCAAAACGGTGCGGTGACCTCGGAATGACCTCACCGCACGATTCGTCGCTGCACGGTTTTAGGACATCGGAAGCCCCAGACGCCCGAGGTCGTCCTCGAAGAACGACCCGGGTCCAAAAACCGTGCGGTGCCTCCGAACCCCCACTGACTCGCCACGCGGTGTGGTCACCGCACCGTCTGGCGGCCCCCGACTGTGGCTGGCGCCCTCCGAACTGAGGGGGCCGGGCTGGACAGCGCAGCACCCCTCGGCCGGCTCGGCATGCAACGCTAGGCTACGGCGCCCGGCGGGGCGGCCCGGCACGCCGATGGCCCTTAGGCTGCTCGCAGGCCTGGGGCCCAGGGGCGGGCGGCGCAGCAGACGCCGCCGAGGCAGTCGATGCCGCCGCCGACGCCGCCGCCGACCCCACCGAGGCCCTGGATATCCGACGCCGACACCGCCGACTCCGCGGACAACACACCGCCGAGGGCGCCCACACTGCCCAACGGCGCCCACGCCTGGGCCGACGCCGTCGGCGCCGCGCCTGCGCCAGCGGCGCCAGCGCGGCGCGGCGCGAGGTGTGGGTCGCCTGGCTTCGCGCTTCGTGGAAGCTCGGAGCGCGGTCGCCCCTGCCCTCGCTCCGCATCGAGGGTCGCTGAAGGTGTCCCTTGCCAAGGTGTCCCCAGCTTTTCGCTTCATTTTGGAGCCCCTGGGGCCCTCTGGGCTTGTGGGGGGTGCTCTGAAGGCTGTGGGGGCCACTGGGGGGCACTTTGGGCCAAGGACACCTCTGGCAACACCCGGTCTGCCGAATGACAGCTTTCTGGCTCGGACCGCAGTGCGTGATGCACGACCGGAGCGCGGGAGCCAGCCGCACGGAACGACCGTTGCCCAAGCCGAGCAAGCTCTCGGCGATCATGCGACACGTCGCCTCCGACGCGTCGCCTGATCGCCGAGACCCCCCGACGCGTCGCCTGCGGCGGTCAGCGCGACAAGCATCAGCTGGAGCGCGGGGGCGAGGACGGCGGTGAACGCCGAAGCACCTGACCGCGCCCCGCAGAGGCGGACACCGTCCCGGGCCAATCGCAGACAGAGGACTCAGCCGGATTAGCCCAACACTCAACCGGATTAGGCGGGATGTTAGGCCGGATAGAGAAAGTTCTCGACAACGGAAAGCGTAACGCCATCCTAAACGGGAGTACCGATCTGGCCCCGGTCATGGGCCCGACTGGAAGGACCCTGCCCGGACGAAGGCCTGCGCCCCATCGCAAACCGACGCATTCTACCAATGCGCGCTCCCCGCACACTTCTCGAATGCATCCAATGCCGGGGGCTACAAGCATCACGAGGCCCAGGAGCACGTGCGAGATCATGCGATGGCATCGTATCGGGATGGGGGAACGGAGAATTGGCCTTGACTTGGTCTTTGTGTTAATAGGTGTTTGCTTTGGTCTTTACTTGGAGAATTAGAATGGAGCGCACCCTCAGATTTGGTCTTGATTTTACCCATGCAGAGTCCCCAGAGCCTCGCCTCCTTCCTGAGGACCGGCCTTCCATCCCGGACTCTTTGCCTACGGTCCTGGGGCTGGCGAGAGGGCCACCAGATCGGCCGACGACGGTAACAAAAACGGCGCCCTGATGCGTCAATCGATTGGCGGCGGATTCTTAGCAGGAAGCGGGGCTTCTCGGGTCGGACGAAAGGAGGGGATAACCTCATGCCCGTGAGAATAAACACTAGGGGATAATAAAGTTCGGGGTTCAGGGAGAGATAATAAAAGTAGCCCAGCAGACCTCAGCATAATCTCGAAGTAAGAGATGATCAAGAGGAGACCAAGCCGAGCACGTTTTGAGACATCCTTGGCGTTTAGTTTTCATAGAAATATCCTCAACAATGGCTTATCTCTCATGCAAATTGTTTTTGTAAGTGCTCGTGTAGGGTAGCTCATGTGCCTCAATTTCCATGGATAATCAACCCCAGAGATAAAAAAGTTCAGGCGAGCGTGGGGACAGAGAGAAATATAAAAGAAGAAGAATACAGTAGAAGAATAATAAGAAAGAAGAAGAAGAGGAGAATAAGAAGAGGACGAAGAAAGGAAAAACCCAAAGTTCCAAATCTATCAATTTTTATTTACAAAAGCTTTATGAACATTGTTTTGTTTTAAGTGCTCGTGTAGGGTAGCTCATGTGCTTCATTTTCCATGGATAATCAACCCCAGGGATAAAAAAGTTCAGGCGAGCGTGAGGACAGATAGAAATATAAAAGAAGAAGAGGAAAGTAGAATAATAATAAGAACATTGCTCGTTTCGTTTGAGTCTGCCTCCCAAAATTATTGGTTTCGCTTGACACATCCTGAAAAAGTGTGATCGCTTCGCTTGATGTTGCTATATCAACATCGCTTGATGTTGCTATCTCAACATAGCGTTTCGAGGTGATAATGAAGTTCGGCCTCAGCGCTCGCCGCCCAATTTGAATTTTGTATAGGGCGACGATAATCAACTCTAAACACTGAAGGGGGGGGGGTCCCTTTATTATCATCGGCATGCGGTTAGCAAAGGGGGGGTTTGAGAATCAGCTCACGTAGCTGATTTTTCCCAGCGCCTCCCGGCGCCAGAGGCGGCTATGTATCGACGAATGGGCCCCTCGGTGAGGCCGAAACCAGCCGCATGCAGCAGAATTCTTAACCTCTCTTTCCCAATCCCCCCATTTCGTCCGGCCCGAGCTTCTCAGAAGCCTGCCGAGCATCGAAGAAGTCTTCCTCCGGAGCCTTCCCAGAAGGCCGCAGTGCCTGCCAGGAAGCTGCCCACCCTCTCAGACGCCCGACCCCCCCGCGCCACCCCCTTCATGGACGCCTCCAACAGTACGCTGGAGGTCCGGGCTTGAGTGCGGGGTTCTCGCCGACGCGAACCCACCTCAGGTCGCAGACGTGCTTGCTGGCCCGAGGCGGACACGCGCCGCCGCGCTTACAAACGTCGGGGCGGCGGGGCCTGGCCGCGGGGGCCTGCGGCGCCGTGGAGGGCCCAGCGCGGGGGGTCGGGTGGGGCCCAACCGTGTGCGTCCAGGAGGGGGGCCAGGAAGAGGGGGGCGCATCATTGCCTGAAGCATGTGCGCGGACCGTGGGGGCCAGGGAACGAATAGAGGACATTCGTCATGTCATGATGCGACTGGAGTGGGAGGCGTTTTCAAGAAATTTAGGAGTCTACCTATACGACCACCCTGCGGGTGATAAGGAGGTTTGGGGGGGCAACAATGGGCAACAGTGGTGACTGTTGTTCTGACAATGCCTGTGGTGCGCAGTCTAGTGAGTAATGTGATGGTGATCGTGAGCGTGATCTGATGTGGCGATGTTATGCCGGAAACCGCGATTGGTATACCGGTTTTGCTTGGGCAAATGGCTGCGGTCCTAGAGCGACAACGGCGGCACAGCATGCAGCACGGAATGACGATGTGCCTTTCGACTATCATTTGGATGTGCATATCGATGTGTTTGTCGATTTGCTTTTCGATCTGCATCTCAATTTGCATGTCGACATATGAGAGAGCGTGATCCACCGCCGCTTTACTGTGGAAACTTGCCAACCTTTTCCTCCGGAGCCCGGGGGTCGCTCCCCCCCCCCTCCGAAAATCCCCCCACCCCCCCTGCTGGAACCCCCTCCCCCCCCCCTCCCCCGGCAAAACCGCCCCCTCCCCACCCCTTCCCCCCCCCCCCCAAATCGAACCCCCCCACCCCCCTCCGGATCCGGAAAACCGGGGGGGGTCACTACCGGTTCGAACCCCCCCCCCCCCTCGAAAACCGGAGGGGGATCACTACCGGTTCGAACCCCTCCCCACCCCCCCACTCACCGCCAGCAAACGACTCCCGGTCCCTACCACCGTCCGCATCACATCCCCCACTGTTGTTCCCAGCACCACTGTCCTCACCACCACTGTCCCCACTGTGTCCCCACCAGTGCCCCCACCACTGTCGCACTGTCCCCACTGTCCCCACCACTGTTCCCACCACGGTTCCACTCTCCCCACTGTCTCCACGGCCCCAACCACTGCCCGACTATCCCCACTGTCCCCACTGTCCCACTGACTCCGCCGCTGTCCCACTGAGCTGTCCCACTGTTCCCACCACTGTCCCCACTGTCCCCACCACTGTCCCCACTGTACCTCTGTCCCATTGTCCCACCGCCGTCCTCGCCACCGCCTTCACCACTGTCCCCACCACCATTGTACCCTCCACTGTCCCACTGTTTCCACCTCATTCCCACTGTGCCCACACCACTGTCCCCACCACCACCGTCCCCACCACTGTCCACTGTCCCCCCTGTTCCCACCATTGTCCCCACCACTGTCCCCACCACTACCGGCCCTCTACTGTCCCACTGTCCCACTGTCCCCACCACTGTCCCGCTGTCCCCTCACCACTGTCCCCACCAACACCGTCCCCACCACTGTCCGCACCCCCACTCGGTTTTCGAGGGGGGGGGGTTCGATCTGGTAGTGACCCCTCCCCCTTTTCATGATGAACTGGGGGGGGGGAGGGGTTCGAACCGGTAGTGACCCCACCCGGTTTTCCGGAGGGGGGGGGGGGAAGGGTTCGAACCGGTAGTGACCCCCCCCCGGTTTTCCGCCAGCAGCGGTAGAACACGCTCTTTCCGACATATCGATGTACACGACGATTTGCTTTTCGATCTGAATCTCGATTTGCATGTCGACTTGCATTGGAAAGCTCGCCGCAGGCGCCGATTTTTAAAATACGCAACCCACGTCGCCTTACGATTTGCATTTGGATGTGCATGTCGATTTACATGTTGATGTGTTTTTCGGTTTGCATGTCGGTTTGCATGTGGACTTGCATTGGATAGCTCGCCGCAACCACGGCCGGCGGGACACCAGCGGGACACTAGCGGGACACCGCGGGGCACCGTTGCCGGGTGGAGAGACTTTTGGTCTGGCCGCGGCCCGGCCACAGGAGGATTTCGGGACACCAGCGGGACACCGCGGGCCACCGTCTGCCGTTGGAGAGGCTTTTGATCCGGCCGCGGCCCAGCCACAGGAGGATTTCGGGACACCAGCGGGACACCGCGGGACACCGTCTGCCGGTGGAGGGACTCTTGGTCTGGCCGCGGCCTTGCCACAGGAGAAGTTCCTCCCGCCCGCCCAGGGAGCTTCGCTTCGCCCGCCCGCCCGCACGCACGCATGGCACGCACGCCACGAACCCGAAACCGAAATCGATTTCCCGGTAGGGGGGGGTCTCCGTGTCACGTCGGACTCACCTCCCAACCTCCGACGTAGCCCCCGGCAGTGGCGAAGAAGAGTGAGAGAGGCAGCAGGGACGTCGGCAGCAGGAACGTCCGCCGCAGGCGCCCAGAATTTCTACTCGCAACTACTCCCAAGTTCGGCAACGCGCCCCGCCGCAGGCGCCGACATCTTCGTAAAAACAATCATAAAGAATGGTGGTGCGTCGCCACGGCATCACGGGTGGGTCGCCGGGTGAGTCGCCTGGTGGGTCGCGGGGTGGGTCGCGGGGTGGGTCGCGGGGTGGGCGCGGGCGGGTCGCGGTCGCGGGCGAAGACGACAATAATAACATCAAAACCAGCAACACCAACAGCAACAGCAGCAACAACAACAACAACAGCAACTACAGCAACAACAACCTCAACCGTCAATGTAAGACTGTTCAATATTACCTGCTAGCGTGCCATTCAACACCGATATCCCAAACCCTCGGTACCCGCCTTCTTCGTCCTCAGTCGTACCCACTTGGAAGTTTATGTTCTGTAATTGCCGCGTGTAAGTTGGACAACCCTTGAAACAGGGGAAACGGAGAACGGATGGAAGGGGGAGGGAGAAGGACGGAGCACGGGATTCGCAGGATGGGGGCTAGGAGCAGACAGCGCGTGGCAAAACTAGACGGGCCCATCGGGCGGGTAGACCCTAACGGGCGGGTCGGGAAGGCGGGCCCAAGTGGCCAGGTCGATAATGCGTGTCGCTGAAGGGTGAATACAGCATAAATCGCGGGAAGCGTTCGAGGGAAAGCGCGATGACCAAATAAATCGTGAAAAAGGCCGGAGCGAGGGCGTGGTGCCTGGGTGTCGAGGGCGCGGCGTCAGAATAAATTGCGGGCAAGGCCCACGCGAGAGCGCTACTTATTCAGAAATTGTTAGGGGGTCCCGCGCGAGAACTCGTTTGTGGAATACATCGTGAGGAAGTATCAGGCGGGAGCCGTTGTTGTTGTTGTTGTTGTAGTTCGGGGCCCAACAACGCAGTTGGATGACCCATCGCTTTCCCGTGAGAGAAAGCAAGGTACGAAGCCCGATGGAAGCACTTCAGTGGAAAAAACAATGGTTACCTGAGGGGGATCAACTGTAATCCTTTTTTCGGCAACGCTTTTTATATATAATGAAACATGGAAGCCACACACTGCTTACATTGGTGTAGGCGCAACTGAACATCATCCCTCATATCTCTGAGAAAGCTGTCAGCATTTAGAACTCCCAGTTTAAAACTCAAAAAATGGACTGGATGGCATTTGTCATCTGTCAAATGGTCCTCAATGAAAATGGGGTTAGTAGGATGGAAGGCTTGACTACCACCCTGGAAATCTGCGCGCCAGCTCTGGTACCCAGAGCGGCCCCCTAGAGGGCAGACCATGCGCTGAGCATGTCGGAGAATGGATGAAGACAGCAAGCGGGAAATGCGGTTAACAAATCCTCTGGCGCGCAGGTACTCAATCAGAGTAAACCCCGCCGGCTAAGAAGGGCAAGACGATGAGGAGGAGGAGGAGGAGGAGGAGGAGGAGGAGGAGGAGGAGGAGGAAGGGGAGGAGGGAAGGCATCGCGCTCGATGAATTAATGCCGCGGCAGACGCAATTCGCACCAGCGCGCGGGCGGGCAAGGCCAGCCGTCGCCAGGGGGAGCCGGGAGGGGGAAGGAGGAGAAGACGGTGAAGGACGGGCGGGCGGGGGCGGGGGAGGGGCGGCAGTCGTTGCGTCGTCAAGCGGGGGCTGCCGCTGCTACCGCCGCCGCCGCCGCTGGGGCCGCCGCAGCAGCTGCCGCCGGGGCCGCGGCGCCATCCCCAGGGACAGCGCCAGGGTGCCCGCGCCTCTCGGCCACGGCCGCGCCCGCGGGCTCGTCGACCGCGTCGTCCTCGTCGACGGCCAGCGGCGTGCACGCACGCAACATGCGGGCTGCGCGGCGCCAGATGCTGACGGCGATCCAAGTCAGCACGCGGCGCAATTCCACATCCTCCGTGCCCCGCCGCCTCGCGTGCGCCCGGGCAATCGACTGCAGCACCCTCAGGATCTCGTCGTGGAAGCGGCCAACGCGCTCACAGCCAAAACCCGATACTCGATTCCGCTGTCCCCGAGCTCGCTTCGGAAGCCATCGGCTCGGCGCTGCTTCCGGCGCACCATCGTCTCCACGCAATCGTCGCCAGCTCCCGCCGTCATAGGCGCTATGATTCCCACATCCAATGCCGCCAGGCACCCGGGCGGATCCGGGACGCCAGTCAGAACGTCCGCAGGGCGGGGAATTGGGCGTGAGCTCGCGAGGCCTATCGGCTCGAGCTCTGTGCTGCCATCGACAGCGCTGGCGAATGCATGCACGTCGTCACGGACTGCATTATGTCCAGCATGGCAGGGGCCTCTGGCGCAAAGGAGCCCGTGGCTGCCGGACGGGCCCATGATGCACTCACCGCAGTTGGCGCACACCACCTTCGCATCGGGCCCCCCCGCGCCGAGGCGGATGCGGGCGGCGAGGACGAACTCGTCGCTGGTCATAATCCGTCCCTTGTGCGGGGATATGGCCCACAGCCAATCATGGTATTGGTTCGGGTGGCAGAGTTCCTGGAGGCGGCGCGCAGCGTCGGCGCCCCCGCTCGCTCGCGCGCGGGAGAGAAGCCCAGTGGCCACAGTGCGGTCCGCCACTCTGGTGAGGTCGCGCTGGAAGCGCAGCGCGCCGCGGCCCCCAGGGGCGGCTGGGTGCTCGGGGCCCTCCGCGCCCGCCTCGGCCACGGCCGCCGCGCCGGGCCTGTGGCTTGCGGCGCGCCCGCCAGCTCCCGGCTCCTCCTCCTCCTCGCCGGCGCACCAGCTCCGCCAGCGGCGCTCAGCCAGCGCGGCTGCCTCTTCGAGGTGGGTGCGCACGGCGTCGTGGACGCCGGCAGGGAGGACGTCCCGCCACCTCTGCGCCAACGCGTGCGTGCGCTTGTCGTACTCCCGTATGCACCTGGCGGCAGACCCCAGCCCCTCCTCCTCCACGTGAACACACATGGCTGCGACGAGCGGCCGCGAGGCGACCCGGCTGGCAATGAACGCGGGCAACGCGCACTCGGACGCCTCCCGGAGTCCGAGTCCACCAGCGTCCACAGAGAGAGTGGCCTGAATCCATCCCTCATCCAAGAGCTTGCCGTGGAGGGCGTCCTCTGTAACGCGCCGAAGCGAGGCGTCGAATGCAGCCAAGGACTCGTCGTTAACCAAGTCCCCGTTCCACCGGAGAATGTAGCCGACCCTGGAGACGTCGAAGCAGCGGCGGTGGAGCACGAGCTCGCACTGGGACTGCTCCAGGCCCCCGATCGCGACCCTCTCGGAAACGAGAGGTCACCAACAACAACATCACCGACAACAATAACAACTGAACAACAACGCAACGGCAACGGCAACAACAGCAATAATCCGCACCGCGGAGCCTCACTTCAGCCACGCGCCAAGGGACAATGAATGACCGCTCGGCCCACTCACTCTGATCTAGCGGCTCTCGCTTCCAAACCCGTGCGGAATAATCCACCACCGTGCATGCATGCATGTGGGCGCGTTGAAAGCTGGGCCGGCGCGGGAACGGAAAGAGCGCTCAAGGAACTCGCCCGATAAGGCTCATGGCACCGCTTGCTCTGGGGGGCATTGGCGTTAAGAGCTCGTTGACGTCACCGATCGCTCTTGGGAGCCTTGGTGTGAACAGTTGTGTGTTCGCTCTTGGGAGCTTGGACGCTGAGAGCTGTTCTCGTGCTCGTTGGCTCCTGAGAACCTCGGCGTTAAGAGCTTGCTACATCGCTCTTTAGAGCCTTGGCGTGAAGAGTTGTGTACGCACCCACTCGCTCTTGGGACCCTTGGAATTACGAACTGTTTACGTAAACGCTCCCTCTTGAAAGCCTTGGCGTTAAGGACTGGCTACGTGACCGTTCGCTCTTGGGAGCCTGGGCATTCGGACCTGTCTGGCCACGTGTCAAAGCTGCGTCCATTATTGGGCCCTACGCACGGGGGTCCTCTGGGGCTCTTTGGGGCTCTCGCGATCTTGGGCCGTTCTGGTGACCTCTTGGGCCGTCTCGGGGGTCTTGGCCCTATTTTCTTTTTCGGTATAGAGCAGGGCGAGCAAGGAACCCCAGAGATCCGGGCACGCAGATCTGCGGCCACAAGACGAACGATAGAAATAACAAATCAAATTTCCTGGCATTGGGTTTTGAAACCGTTTGCGACGCCTGACCGATTCCTTTTTCAGATTCGGGCGCGCAGAAACTAGGGCTCGATCTGGCCTTGGCCGGCTCCCACGAGCGGGTTGAAACGCTCGCGGCCCCATCGAGAGGACGGGGAGGGGAGGGGGGATGCGATCAAAAGCTGGCCCCGCAGGTCCCGTAGGGATGACCTACCCAACCGACGGGACCGCCGATAGACAGTGGCCGCTGCTGGGACCAGCGCCCGAAATTATTCCGCTGGCCCGGGGCGCCCGCTGGCTGTGAGAACGCAGGCTGGCGACAATAAGTGCCCGAACTACATTTTGTGCGTGATCCAGAGTGGCGCTGGCGAAGGACCCGAGGATCTGGCCAGACTCCGAAGAAGGCCATAAAGCGCTGGACGACCGCGGAAACCAGTTGCCTCCCTAGACAGCGCCACTGTTATTAAACCCAATAGGGCCCCATGAGGGCGCAAGTTAACTCAAGGCAGCCCTGGAAACCCTTTCCTCCTCCTCCTCTCCCCTTTCCGTCTCCTCTCCTGCTCATCCTCATTGTGCCTGGTGAGAAAGCAGGCTGGGAATACGAAATGCCCAAAGCACGCGCAGAGTTCGTAAGCAGAGAGCCTGGGGAAGGACCCAAGCCCTCTCAAGTAAAATTGGCGAGTGCAACTGAAGCCGCAGCGTGACCCTGGTCGGTGTGCATTCCGGCTAGAAGGGACAAACGTTGCCCGCACGCTTCGGGGGGCGCGCTCACATCCTTGTAATCATCTTCTCCCAGTAGGCCCCCGACAACAAAACCCGCAAAACGACACCCCTCACGAAAAATCTGGCCCCGACGGGGGGAGGAAGAAAAAACCCTCGCCTCTTCTTTGAAGCCAGAATCATTGATTTTACTAGGTTTTGGCCCCACTTTGGCCTTCTGAGGGGGCAGCGCTAATTAAAGCTCCCCTCTTCTTTCAAGCCAAAATCATTGATTTTACGAAGGTTTTGGCCCCATGTTGCCCTTCTGAGGGGGCAGCGCTAATGAAAGCTCCCCTCTTCTTTGATCGATTTCCTCCAAGATGGCCCCAAGAAGCGCCCAGGACGCACCAAGAGGCCCCAAGATGGCCCCAAGAGGCCCCCAAGAGGCCCCCAAGAGGCCTCCAAGAGGCCCCCAAGATGCCCCCAAGAGGCCCCCAAGAGGCCCCAAGAGGCTCCCCCGAGGCACCCAAGACGCTCCTGGAAACCCCTGGGGCCGCCAAGAGGCCCCCAAGACGCCCCAAACGGCCTCCAAGAGGCTCCCAAGAGGCCCGAAGAGGCTCCCCCAAGGCACCCAAGACGCTCCTAGAAGCCCCTGGGGCAGCCAAGAGGCCCCCAAGACGCCCCAAAAGGGGACGAGGTGCCCGAACGCCTCACGCCACGAGGAGCCCGAACGACTCACACCAGGACGAGGGGCCCGAACGACTCACACCACGAAGAGCCCGAACGACTCACACCAGAAGGAGGGGCCCGAACGACTCACACCAGGACGAGGCGCCCGAACGACTCACACCACGAGGAGCCCGAACGACTCACACCACGACGAGGGCCCCGAACGACTCACACCACGAGGAGCCCGAACGAGTCACACCAGGAGGAGGGGCCCGAACGACTCACACCAGGACGAGGGGCCCGAACAACTCACACCACGAGAAGCCCGAACGACTCACACCAGGACGAAGAGCCCGAACGACTCACACCACGAAGAGCCCGAACGACTCACACCAGGAAGAAGGGCCCGAACGACTCACACCAGGACGAGAAACCCCAAACGACTCAAACCACGAGGAGCGCTTTCTCTCCCTCCTCCTCCGCCTCGTCCTTCTCCCGCTCCCACCACAAGGAGGATGTGCAAGGAGGCGGGAGGAAGGAGGAACAGGGGAGATATGCGGGGGCAGGCGGAAACCCGCCTGAAAAACACGACTGTCGGCATGCTTCGCAAGAGTTGCTGTTTTGAGATGGGCTGGTGGGGATACGCGAAGCGTGAAGAATTAGGGTTCTGAAGGGCCAACGCCGTGGTGTAATCGCAGCTCATGGTCACGTTGTGTAAGGATCAACGCCTCGCGGAGTTAAGAGGACAGTTGCCCCGGCCGCTCCCTCCGAAGTGTCCAAGCAAGGAGTTGGCGGAGGAGTCGGTGGCGGGGTCGGTGCGGGCGTTGGTGTGGGTGTCGGCGGCGGCTCGTGGGCGTCGGCACCATTGTGGCATTCGCATTCCACTCTTCATCCACGCCAGTACAAGGGAGAACCATGACCCTGTTAATGTGCAGAAAAAAGAAACAATCACAATTGTTATGAATGCTTCGGTCCACCTCATAGACGAAGTTCTGAGCTGTTCAGCCATCACAACTCCTCAGCCCTAGGAACGTGTTATCATTCTTCACACACCTGCCGTCGTAGTATTGAGGCCCTCCGTTTGCAAAACGCCAACTCTAAATGTCAAGCCCGTTGCACGTGTACACGTAAAGGTCATCCCAGACATCGACTCCCAGGCACATGCCGTCCCGCTGATAAACGGTGCGAAACCCGAACTGGCACCAGCCTGTGCCGCTGCCTGCTGCGAGGTACTCTCGTCCACCGCTGTTGCGAATTGCATCATGCTGGGATCGGCGGGGGCTGCACCCAGGCCAACGACGCCGCGTGCCCCGACGAGACTGGCGACCAACCAGAGACGGGCCATCTGTGAGACAGGTGAACCGACAAGAGGTCGTTAGATGTTAGATGTTCACGGAGTGTGCGTGTGCGTTTTGGGCTGCGAAGGCCAAGCGGGAGCCAAGCAGTCTTGAGCCAGAATGGCTTGAGCCAAAATGGCTACGGCCTCGGTGGTCTTGGCCCGTCTTGGGACCCTCTTGGGGCTCCCTCGGCCTTCTTGGTGGCCTTCGGCAGCACTCTTGCGATTCTCCTGGGGGCCTCTTGGGGCCCCCTTAGGCTCCTCTTAGGCCGTCTTGCGGCTGTCTGTGACCTTCCTGGTGCCCTCCTGGGCCGCCCTGGGGCTCTCTTGGGGCAACCTCGGAGGCTCTCGGAGCCAGTCTTCGACCGATCTGGGCCCGAAGAGAGGCGTGAATCCAGGAGACACTGGAAACCCTGAGGGGAATCCAGGTGGTTGGCCTCCTCTCGGGCCGGGCGAATGGGGGGGATAGCAAAGGTGGGGTTTGAAAGTCAACTCACGTAGCTGATTTTCCCAGCACCTCCCGGCGCCAGCAGGCGCCCATGTATCGAGGAATGGGCCCGGCGGCGGGGCCGAAACCAGCTGCATGCAGCAGACTTCGTAACCCCCCCTTTCCCTATTCCCCCCCTTTCGTTCGGCCCGATCCTCTGGAAGGCTCGTGGGCCGTCCGCGGAGCCTCCTGGCTTGGGACCCGCTTGGGTCCTCTCTCGGGCCTCCTGTTGTTGCGCTCTTGGGCTTTCCTGGAAGCCTGTTCGGGTCGTCGTCGGACCCTCTTGGGGCTCTCTGTGGCCGTCATGGGGGCCTTGGGCAGTCTTGGGGCTCTATTGGGAGCCCCCTTGGCTGTCTTACGGCTGTCGCGGGGGCACTCGTATTCGGCCAATCTGGACTCGAAAAAGCAAACTCACAAACAAAATGAGACGATGTGGGCGTGTTAGCATGCCAGGTGCTGCTCTGAAGGGCTCCTGCGTTCTAACAACGGACCCCCCTCCACCACCGCACAGTCGCAAACACCCCCCCTGCTCCCGAGGCCACGACTCCTTGTAACAAAAGCGATGGGTCCGCGCTCCCGAGGCCGAGATCCCGTGCAATAAAACATTGCATCCAGGTCCCCAGCTCCAAAGGCGACTAAGATGGCCCAGACAAGCAACCACGGCATACCAAGACGGCCCAAGACGCCTCGAAGACGGGTCAAAAAGACCAGGCGGCTGACTAGGGCCTCAGCAAGGCCCCATATGTTTGTTCCTAGAGGGCTAAAAAAGCTGAAAAGGCCTCAAACGGTCTTCCAACAAGGCCCGAAGAAAGCACCGTCAATGATGTCCCGTTGATTGCTGAATGATGCTCGGGTTCGCGCCTCTTCTGGGTCCCGTCAGCACAAGACGGCCCAAGAAGCCTCCACGATGACCTGAAGACGGCCCAAGCTGCCCCCACGAGGGTCCGACCAAGGCCCAAGAGGAACCAACGAGGGTCCAAGAGGCATCCAAGACGGTCCCGAGACAGCCCAAGAGGGCCTCTCGTGAGACCAAAGACGGCCCTGGAAGGCCATCGACTGCCCAAACTGGCGCCAAGACGGCCCCACGACAGCCCCCCGAAACCCAACATACGGGCATGAGAGACCCAAGACAGCGTAAGAGGGTACCAAAACGGCCCCAGAAGGCCCCAAAAGGTCCCCAAGACTGCCTCACGGGAGACCAAGGCAACCACAAGACGGCCCAAAAAAGATCCATGAGAACTCCTCAGACCGTATGTGTCACGTGTGACGGCCCTATTCTTCATCCTCCTCCTGCTCCGTCTATTCCTAAACCTCCTGCATATGGTCGTCATCATCTTCATCACCACCACCACGGTCACCACCACCACCATCATCATCATCACCATCATCATCATCGTCATCATCATCATCATCATCACCACCACCACCACCACCACCACCACCACCATCATCATCATCATCATCATCATCATCATCATCATCATCATCATCATCATCATCATCATCATCATCATCCTCACCATCATCATCATCACTTTCAACATCAACATCATCATCACCATCAGCATCGTTATCAGCACCACCGTCATCTCCAGCAGCATCAGCAACATCGTCGTATCAAGCAGTATCACAGACGTGATGGCGATGGCGCTCATGATGATACTGATACCGGTGCTGATACTGATGATGAGAGTGATGATGATGATGATGATGATGATGATGACGATGATGATGATGATGATGATGATGATGATGATGATGATTGTTGATGATGGTGATGATTATCGTCATCATCATCATCGTCATCATTAGCATCATCATCGCCATCCTCATCATAACCATCATCAACATGATCAGCAGCAGTGGCATCATCACCATCACCATCACCATCACCAGCACCATCACCCTCACCGTCATCAAAACCAGCATCGCCACCAGCATCAGGCACATCATCACCATACTCAGCATCATCATCATCGCAAACCACAGCATCATCAGCATCAGCATCAGCATCAGCATCAGCATCACCCTCATACTCATTATCATCACCACCATTATCATCATCACCACCATCATCATACTCGAAACCATAATCATTCGCATCACAAAACTCTTCAATCTCATCCGCCTCATCATCATCAGCATCATCAGCATCAGCATCGTCATCATCATCATCAGCACCAACATCATCATCATTATCATCATCAGCCTAACCACCATCAGCAACGTCATAGTCAATAGCATCAGCATCACCAACATCACCATGCTCAACATCAGCAACAGCATTAACATAATCACCACTATCATCACGCCCACCAGCATCACCATCATGAGCATCATCAGCAGCAGCAGCAACATCATCAACATCATCATCATCATCATCCTCATTGTCATAGTCATCCGCATCCTCATTATCATCCTCCTGCGCCTCATCATCATCATCATCATCATCATCATCACCATCATCATCATCATCATCATCATCATCATCATCATCATCATCATCGTCGTCATCATCATCATCGTCACTGCTTTGTCGAACTCTGATACATGAAATGTTACACGTGACGCTATACCGTGCCCCCTCGAAGAATCGAAGCCCGTCATGCTGGGCTGGCAGGACTTGCAGCAGACAGCTGGATAGGGAACTCCTGAAATTGTGGAAATATTGGAAGTGCTGGAACGTATAACCGCGACGGGTCTTCAGACCCCCCCCCCGAACAGTGGAAAATAGTTATCATTGACTAGCTGGGGCCTCACCAAGAATGGAATCGTGTTATTTCTCCGCGGCACCCGCCGCATAACAACAACGACGAAGACTACGACTACAAATACGAATACGCCCAAGATTCGACGACCACTACGACTACGATTCAAGACGACAACCACGACTACGCTTACGACAACAACTGTGACTGCGATTAAAACTACAATCACCAATCCGATCACACTTGCAATCATGATTACAAGTACGACTACAATCACGACTCCAACCACAACCAATGAGTTCGATTGCAATCCACATGAGACGATGCTCAGAAGTCCTCTCGCGTGTAGGGTGGCCCATAATGGATTATTCCCTTGGGAAAGAACCCCCCAAACATTATCCCGCCCGCCCAACAATAGGGGGACCATAATTTCCGCCGCGACGACGACGACGATGACGACTACGATAACGACCACGAGGAGCAGGGGGAGGACGAGGAGGGGGAGGAGCAGGAGGAGGATGAGAAGCCGGAGGAGGAGGGGAGAAGGAGGAGGAGAAGGAGGAGGAGAAGGGGGGGAGGATAACAACTACAGACCATTCGGGGTTAATTGTCATGACGCCGTGCCCATTGGAAGAGCGGCCATGAAGTCTGGGGAGATCGCATGGCCCTGGTCATAACATCCACACGCCCCTACTCCTCACCCCCTCGAGCCTAGTGATTAGAGGGCCATACATCGAGCCTCCAGCGGCCATGCGGGACGATCAGGGCGCCCCCCAGAAAGCTCACGACGAGGCGCAGCTGCTGGAGCGCATCCCGAGGCGAGAGCTCCTCTGAGAGACACCGAACACTTCCTTCCCCCTGCGACGAAAACGTCCTCATCCTACTCTTGGAGCCGCGGAGGGGGGAGGCGCACGCTTGGCATGGCACGCTCCATGGCACATAGACTCGGCACCCACCTCGGCAAGTGCGCGCCAGACAAAAAAAAATCCGTATGATGGGCCTGTTTTCCACCACCACCACCATATAAGTTGGAGGGGGGGGTCCTCCTCCTCCTCCTCATCCTCTTCGTCCTCCTCCTCGTTTTCCACCTCTTCCCCCCCTCCAACTTCTGGTGGTGGTGGTGGAAAACAAGCCCATCACGCAGCTCACACAACTCTGCAACAAACCAAACTCGCACCAGCTTCTCAAGCCGTTCCGCGCGTCCACGGCCCCAGGCTTACTCTGGCAGATGGCAAGGGGCTGTCCCCGGCAAGCACGGCGCTGACATTGAGACTTGGTCACCTCTCCGGAGTGCTTGCCGTTTGTCCCTGGAGACCACACGCCTCCGATTTCCTCTTCTCCCTCTCTCTCTTTCTCTCTCCGGAAGAGGGACGAGAGAGGGAGACCGAGGCTCTGGTGGTTCATCTCTCTGGTCACTGGAATCGAGCGTGGCTCAATCCAGCAGATTTAGCGTGAGGAAGCGCATATAAGTGCGACCCACCAACGTTTTCCGGCTTCCCTCCCGAGCCAAGCGCCCGACAACGCAGAAGCTGCTCGGCAGAAACGCAGCCAGACGACCCAGAAAAGAAGGGGATGCTCAGGGCGCGCAGCGAGGGGCGGGGGCTGGTTGTCCTCCCTCGACCAGGGGGGGCGACTGGGAGCGGCAAAGGACATCTACGGGAGGAGGGAGGAGGGAGGAGGGAGCGAGGAGCAGGGAGGAGGGAGGAGCGGCAGAGGACATCTGCATCACTAGTTCGCCTCCGCAGGCCCTGCCGTCGCCGGCAGGCCGAGCAAGGAAGCGCGGGAGACGGGGGGACCGAGGAACACGCGGCGAGCAGCGGGGAAGGCGGAGGGGCGAGTGGTTCAGGGAGGAAAACAAGAAGGATAAAACAAGAAGGAGAGGAGAGAGACAAACAAGAAGGACAAGAAGGATAAAACAATAAGGATAAAACAATAAGGACAAGGGGAGAGAAGAAGGATAAGACAAGCAGGACAAAACAAGAAGGATAAAACAAGAAGGTTCTCAAGGTTCAGGGCGGAGAGGAGGAAAACAAGAAGGAGCAGCAAAGACATCAGGACAGGAGCAGGACTGGAGGGGGTCGGGCAGCAGGACGCGGAGGCAGGAACGGCGGGAGGGCGGGAGGGAGTGAGGACGGGAGGGAGCGGATAGAGGAAAGCGCTTTGGGAACGGCAGCATGGAGGGCCAGGGTGCAGGTCGCTACCTCGACTGGGAGGGGGGGAGAAGTGACGAAGAGAGGTGAAAGCCCACGCGCCGCCACCTACTTGGGAAGCGCAGGAATCTCTGATGTGCGGAATTGCAGGGCTGGGGAATCCCCGAGAGAGTGCCACAATGGTATGACACCAGAGCCTTACCTTAGCACCATTACTCCAGGCGGCGTGCTGCAGAAATCATGGACACAAACATGCAGACATCTCTGGGGGGCATCATTACGTTTGCTTCCGCGGTCTTCAACCAGCCTTGCGCCCTCGTGTTGCTTCCGCTGGCCTTCCACAGGCCTCCGCAGAAAGCGAGATGGCACCTCCTCGATCCCCCCCCAAAAAAGCACGGCCCCTTGCTGTACCTGCCTGCGTGCCGATCCTCCAATCGACGGTGCTGACCCTCCGGAGAGGGCAAGGGAGGAATGACGCACATGCCTCCTCGATGTCCCCAGGGGCGAGGCAGGTGGGGACGGTTGTCCTGTCTGGGGAGGAGGGAGGAGTACTCTAGAATGTGATGATGCCGATGCCTCTCCACAAGTTCACGCCCTGTGCGACCCCACGGCAGTGTGCGGTGGTGCCCTTCAGCGTTGGCCTAAAGCCGCACAGGGAGCTGCTGGGAAACCAAGTGGATCATTACGATGTCTGCTATCCTCTGCTGCCCCCTCCCTGCATGCCTACCCCTGCGCCCCCACCAGTCGCCACACCTCCAGGAGAGGGGAAGTGAGGACTGGAGGACGTTCCAGATCCCCTGACGGCGAGGCCCTTCGTGGGAGCAATAGCAGGAGGAGCCGGGGAAGACCCCCCTGGTGGTGTGGCCCCCCACCGTCTCTGGGACGCATCGCCTACCCCCTATCCCCAGCTCGGGGAGGTATCGTGGACCTCCTCGCTGGAGGTGGCTCCCCTGGTGGTGGTGGTGCCGCTTCTCCTTCCCCCGAAGAGGAGGGGAGGCCCCGAAACGGCCACGCCCCTTCTGGAGCGACCCATGCGCCCCGATCCTCCAGAGTGGGCAGCACGGCGACCCTCCGTATCGAGCCAGCAGGATTGGGGGGGTCTGGAAGCGTTGCCCGAACGGGTGCTCTTGCGCAGCAACCCGAGCCGCTCGGCCCATCCCCGTGGACCGGTCATCAGCGTGAAGCCCGGGTCGCCCCTGGAGATCAGCGCCACCCCGTACGCCCCCGAGAACTCTACGACCTGGACTGGGATAGTTATGCTCCCTCCAACTGCTCTCCACTCCCTGCCCCTTTGCGGTAGGAGAAGGGAGCAAGAAAGATCAGGGACGGGAAACCGTAGAGGAGAGAGGAAGGGGAAGGGGAACGGAACGGGGAGGACGAGGGAAACTGGGAGGAGGAGGGACGCATGAGAAGGAGGTTTGTTGGGTTAGCTGGTGACGTACGCGAGCGCGTGCCTCCAAAGGGAGGAGGGAGAAAGAGAATGCGGAACGCAGATAATGCACAGGAGGCACAAGGAGGGACGAGGAGAAGGACGCGGAAAGAGAGGATGAACGTCAGCGGGCGGAAGTGGAACGGGGTACGGTGAGGGGGGAGCAAGGCGGAGGAGCGTGGAGGAATGCGAGGAATAAATTGCTGGCGCACTGGTGCAGGTAATGCGAAAAATGGTGAGGGCACATGTGGGCCCTCCCTCACGGCCGTATTCGTTGGCCGAGGGGCCGGCAGAGAGTCCTCGCTCCTCTCTGGTGCCAATTGACAGCAGGGTGGATTGATTCTTGTCTGACAACCACATGCACTAGGCAATTCCGGAATTACCCGAGGGCCAACCTGCAATAGGCAAACCAATACGCGAGACCTTGTTCCTGTCTGTTTCAAGGTCTGGCGATGATCCGGGTTATCGGACGCCCTGCCTCTCTCCCGGACAACCTCACCCTGTCGGTTGAGCTTTCCAGCCAGATCCCTAGGCATTCCCGGACGGCGCCCGTATCGTCACAGCACGAAGAGAAGCATCGTCGCAGCATCGTTAGCAGCTGTACGAGCCGCAGCACTGGTGAGCGCGGGCATATGCGGAACAACCCAAAGCGCGGAGGTGACATTATCGGCTGGCCCCTCTCCCCAGGAAAAAAAACACTGGCTGGCGCGGATTGGCTCGAATTGGCGTGGCCACGGCAATGCAGCAGGGCTGTCCTGCGCCTGCGGCCGCGACGCGGAACCCAGACCCCGCGCGCAGGCGCCGTGAATCGCGAGACAAACGGCAAACTCGCATGTCCCAGGGGAGTCGGAGGGCAATTGGCGGCACGGTGGGCACCGACGGTGGGAGCGACCGTGGCACCTTGACGAGTGCGACGCAACTACCCTGCAGAGCGAGCCAGCGTCGGGGGGGGGGGGCATGCGGAGCCGCAGGTGCCGAGGGCCTGGCCCTCTGCGATGCTGGGCTGCACCATGCAGGTGGGTGGCTGGCGGCAAGCTCGAAATGTGCTGCACAGGACAGACAGCGGGATTCGAGGAGCGTGCTTAGGAGGAGGAGTTGGAAAAACCCGCTCTTGCAAGTGCGCGCACGGGCGATACACTGGTCGCCAGACGGGCTGAGAAACGGAACGTGCGTGCCGGTTTTGATGGACTGGTGTGCCTTCTGCAAAACCTGGTGGCAGCGAGCGAAGCAAGAACAGACAATCGTCGGTGGACAAACCTCCCCTTAGCAAACCTCCCTTTCATGAAAACGGCCTGGGACCGAAGCCGACGGACCTGGACCCGCAAAAAGAACGGCTGCGACGCCCTCTCGCGAACCGAAAACGGCCAATTCCTGAATCGACGTGTCAGGGTAGGAGGTCCGTCCACCTCCGAAACCTGGTGGTAGCGAGCGAAACAAGAGCAGACAAACACGCATCGCGCCCGAGAGCTTGCGGAGGAGGCGAGGAGGCGCCCAGGACACATCGCTCGGGTCCAGGACGGGTCGAAACTAGGGGGGGCCAACTTCGCTTCCTGCGCTGCCCGGGAGCGCCGCGACCGCGCGCGGCGAACAGAGCAGATGGCTCCCACTGGCCGCGGCCAGGAGGGGGGGGGCCGCCTCCGGTGCTTCGGCGAGTCGGAGGATGCAAGCGAAAACCCAATACGGTGAGGGCATTGAATAAGGAGCCATTGGATAAGGAAGCCAGGGTCTGGAAGCCAGTGGAACTCCAATCGTGGATTGGCTATGGATGTCACCGCCGCCCTCATCAGATAGGGAATCCTCCAGGGTCTGACGCTTCTTGAGCACATGCCTTAACCAACGCCCGCACCGTACTTGGCCTCGTCCGTTTTGCAGCGCTGCCGACTGTTGGCGGGCAGGTTGTGCGACCCGTCTCGGGAGCTCTCAGGATGAGACCCCGGGAACTCCACGGGGCTGGTGAGATGCCGTCTTGGCCCCGTGACCCAACGGGGCTATGTGACCCCGTGTTGGCCATGACCACCGCTCCAATACAGAGCCCTTGTTACACGAACTAAGATAGACGGCGTCAGTCCGCACTCCCCCTCCCCGCGGAAGTGGGAGGGTGGCGGTCCTGCCCGCGGGCCCCTGCCACTGAACGACAGAGCCACCCGACGACAAGACGAGACAAATCCACGACAAGCAGAGCGCGAAAATGGGAAGCGCACATTCCCGCTTTCGCTCGATTCCCACTTTCGATCGCCTCCCGCTTCCGCTTTCGCTCGTCTCCCGCTTTCGAAGGTGGGAGGCGAACACGAAAGAGGGAAGCAAACGAGAGAGGGAGGCGAACTCGAAAGTCGGAGACGAACGGAAGTGGGGGGCGAACGCCAAAATCGGAGGCGAACGAAACTGGGAGGCGACCAGGAATGGGAGGCGCAGGCGAACGGGAAAGTGTGAGGCGAACACGAAATTGGCAGGCGAACGAAAGTGGGAGGCGAACGACACTGGGTGGGGGGTGCGGAGGCGAAAGCGAACGGAAGTGGGAAGCGAACGACATTGGGAGGGGGGGGCGAAGGCAAATGCGAACGACAGCGGGAGGCGAACGAGAGCGGGAGGCGAAGACGAACACGTAAGTGGGAGGCGAAGGACAGCAGGCGAACGCGAAAGTGGGAGGCGAACGAAAGCGGGAGGCGAACACACGTGGGAGGCGAGCGACAATGGGAGGCGATCGAAAGCGGGAGGCGAGCGAAAGCGGGAGGCGAGCGAAAGTGGGAGGCGAACGAAAGTGGGAAGCGAAGGCGAACACGAAGAAGGGAGGCAATCTGGGAAAGTCGGAGGCGTAGGGGAACGCAAAAGTGGGAGGCGAACGCTTTCCCTTTCGCCTTCCACTTTCCCCACTCTTGTCGTCAATTGGCCTTTCTGTGTCGTGAATTGGTATTCCTTCTCGTTATCAAGTCTGTCCCTGTCGCGAATTACTTCTCCCCTGTCGTGACTTAATCTTGTCTTGTCGCGAATTGCTCCTCCCCTGGTCACTCTTTCCGTTTACAAAAAACACGCCCCTGCCAGTGGCGAGGGCGCTCTCCGCCCCGCGCGACTTGCACTGAAAGCCCGAACCCTAAACCTTGAACGACCAACGCCAAGAAATGCTGGACGCAGTGCCCGCCATCGCATCCACCGGCACGATGTTAGCGGCGCGCACACAGGAGCAGCGCGAGACGCGAAAGAGGCGGTCTTGTGACGTTCGAAACGGCAGCAGCTGTATGAAGAGATCTGCCCCTTCTTAAAGACCCCTCCACTCGCTCTACTTACGCGTCGATGCTGCGGTGGACGTCGGGTGACTTGAACTGAACGTGAGTCAAATTTGAGTTGAACTGGAGTCAAACAAGGGTCGACCTAGCGTCGACCCATATTCGAACTAGCATCGAACAGATCCGTTAGGTGGGCGTCAAAGAAGGGGCCCACCCCTTCTCAGAAAATATTGTCCTAAACGAAAGCTTCCTTCGAAGGCGGGAGGGCTTCAGGGAGGCGGGGTGCCTTACGAGAAAAGCCACCCCCGTGGCCCTGCCCCCCGCCTCCCCAAACCCATCTAGGCCATCGGGCATTGCTCCATGGGGGGGGGCAATAAGCAGGGAAGAGCGGGATACCTTGGTTGCGTGCACCTCTGGGCTCCTCTCCTGCAACCTTCGATTCCCTCTCGTCGACCGCCCCAACTAACCTTACGGACCCCATCGGCCAGCCCCGTGCGCTGGCCGCCCACATGGTGGATGTCGTGCCCTGGCCGCGCTCGATGTGGGCATGTGATGCGCCCCCCGTCTAGCGCACCGACGGCGCCCTCCTGGCAAGGCTTCGCCCACCGCAAGCCAGGCGGCAAGGGCAACCGAACCAAGGCCAAGAGACCTATGATGGCACGTCCGCAGCAGTATCGCGGCGTCCAGTCGGCTGGCCAGCAGCTCGTGGAGGGGAAAAGTGCAAAAGCGCCGCGGGAACGCGGTCGGTACTGTCTGGACCCGAATGGGTGCACAAAAGAAGAAGCGCGCCATGAGCGACTGGAGCCGGACTGACCACCACGGCTCAGTAACGATCTAGGACCTGCCGTCGGCCACGGGCTTTGCTCAATCTTGCCCTGACATGCCACCTCGTCCGTCGATGCCCTGTCAAAGGCGACTGCGATCTCCGCCAGGTTGGGTCCACCATGGTGGACGTCCCCAAAGCAGCGCGCGCAGTCGCACGCGGTGGTCCAAGGCGGGGAAGTATCCATGACCGCCGCCTGCGGGACCAGGGACCCCGGCGGGCGATTCCTATGGACACACTCGGCACCCCCTGGGGCCCGACGCCCGCTGATGTCCGTATCCGCTGCCTGCAGCCTCCTTTGCGCGGCGCCAGCGTTGAACGCGCAGTTTTTGCGGCGCCGACCGTGTGACCAGGGTGTCCCGCTGCAGGGGTCGTTCGGCCGTCCGCGCCAGGGCGCCCAACAACGCAAAAGAAAATAGGTCCCCGATGACGGCGTCGGACCTCGGCACCGCGACAAGGCTGCTGCTGCGGGTGCGCCGCCCGAGGCCGCCTCGGCAGCGCCGGGAGCCGCACAGGACGCTCGGCTCCTCGTGGGGCGCCCTGGCGAAGGCCTCGCCTCCGCCAGCGTCCCCGGCCACGGCCGCGGCAGTCTTCCGCCCCACCAGGCCCTGCGGCCGTCTTCCGCTCCACCAGGCCCGCCCCTTGCCGTCGCTCGGGCGCCTGCTTCCCGGGCATCTCTCGGTCTCGTGCGTGCTTTCTGGCCAGATGGTCCAGGATTCTCCTCGAGGATTTGGATGCTCGTTCTGGGGACCTTCCTGGAGCCACTCGCTCCACTCGTGCGTCGAAGCTGCGTCGAACGTCAGTCGATTTGGGTCGACCCTGAGTCGAAGCTGAGTCGAACCTGAGTCGAACTTGAGTCGAACTTGAGTCGAACTTGAGTCGAACTGGGGTCGAACAGATCCGTTAGGTGGGCTCCAGGAAGGTCCCCGAAACGAGCATCGAAGAGGATCCTCGCCGAGGAAAAATGCACACATCCGAGCGATGCCAAGGCCCTGCGACCCTGCGACCGGCCAGCGGAAGCCGAATGCTCTCGCCACCGAGCCGCTCGCTCGCGCGCGGCCGCCGTGGGTCGGTGCGGCGTGGCCCCCTCCTCCTCCTCCTCCTCCTCCTCCTCCTCCTCCTCCTCCTCCTCCTCCTCCTCCTCCTCCTCCTCCTCCTCCCCCTCCTCCACTCCTCCTCCTCCTCCTCCTCCATCCTCCTCCTCCTCTCCTCCTCCTCCTCCTCCTCCTCCTCCTCCTCCTCCTCCTCCTCGCTCCTCCTCCTCCTCCTCCTCCTCCTCCCTCTCCTCCTCCTCTTCCTCCTCCTCCTCCTCCTCCTCCTCCTCCGGGCTCCGACGCGAAGGGCTCCTGGACGTCACGGGCGCCTCGGCCAGGGCAGCGCAGGCCAAAACGTGTACGGCGGGGAGGGGGTCGTCGACTACAGTCGGATTTGATTGGAGAGGACACGCGAGAAGACACAAGACCCTTCCAAGGGCCACGTTGCCACAGAAAAGGCATGGGTCGCAAGACACAGGACACGAGGGTACCCTTGAGCTGGCAGGGTCGACCTAGTAATCCGGGCCGACTGTGGGTGCTCGTTCTTGGGACCTTCGTGGAGCCACGCGCTCCACTCATGCGTCGATGCTGCGCCGAACGTCCACCGACTTGAAATGGAACTTGAGCCGATCTTGAGCCGACCTCGAGCCAAACTAAAATCGAACTGGACACGAGGGGAAGAACCCACATCTAAGGACCACAGGAGGGGGCACGCGAGACGGAAGAACGAACAAGCGAACGACCGCCAGTGCGGACAGCAGTCCGGGCCTGCTTGAGATCAGGAGAGTGAGGCCGTGGCCTCTAAATCCGCCGACCGTGTCGGCGTGTGTGAGGGGCTTATCCGTTCGAGTCGTCTTCGTCATTCGTCAGTCGTTGTCTCTGTCGTCCCCTTCCCCTGCGCCCCCCTTTCCCTGGGCCCGTCGCCGCTCCCCCCCTTTCCCTGGGCCCTCCTCCTCAAGCGCTGGGCCCGCCTCCCCCGCAAGCGCGCCAGCCAAAGCGAAATTTCGCAACGTCGCAATGACCTCGAAGGGAAGCCCCGTCCCTTTGATCCCTTCCCGCCGGGAGGGGGGGGGTCCCAGGAAGGTCCCGGAAAGATTCCTCTTCCTCCTCCTCCTCCTCCGACTCCACCCCCGGGGGGTCCCAGGGCCCGAGACAGCTCCAAGGCGGGGCCGGCCAAGAGTGCCCCGAGAGGCCCACAAGACGGACCAGCAGGGCCCCGAATCGCCGAACGATCTGTCCAAGACGCCTTCACGGCCTCTGGACGGCCCAAGAGCCTTGCAAGACGCCCCAAGAGGCCTCCAGGAGCACTCGCAAGAGGGCCCCAAGAGGAGCAATCACTGATGCCCCATTGGTCTTTCAAACATTTCGGCGGTCTCGCCTCGTCCGCTTCCCGACGCTCCAAGACGGCCCAAGAGGCCCCCCAGATCGCCCCAAGGCGGCCCAAAAGGGCTCCAGGAGGGACCCAACACGGCCCAAGAGGGCCCCCTAATGGCCCAAGACGCCTCCAAGACGGCCCGAAAGGCCCCCAAGACGGCTCCAAGAGGGTGCCCAGACGAGGGACCAGAACGGACATTTCGAGCCCTGAGGCTCCCGGGAGGAACCAAGAGGCCCCCAGGAGGCACACGAGAGGCCCCAAGAGGCCCCCTGGAAGCTCCGAGAGGCCCGCAAGAGGCTCCCGAGAGCCTCTTGGGAGCCTCTTGCGGGCCTCTCGGGGCTTCCTCGGGGCCTCTCGGGAGGCCTCTCGAGACTATTTTGAAATCGGGCGTGTCCCCCTACAGGGGGATTTTGGACGAAAAATAAAACATACACAAACAATGCTCCAAGAATGCTCAAAAATAGTCAGAACATACTCCCCAGACTATTTTGTGACTATGTTTGAAAATCCCTCCTGTGGAGGGACAGGCCCGACTTAAGACTATTTGGGGGCCGCTTGCGGGCCTCTCCAGGGAACACCAGCAGCCTCGAGGCCTGGCGGCCGCGGCATGCAGTCGTCATCCGCCCAAGTCACGAAGCGGGATCCACAGGGAGCACCGGCACATGTTGGGCATGGCGGCAACGGCCGAGGTGTGCAGGGCGTTCGAGGCGGGTTGGGAGCTCCGTCCTGTAAGTCTATCAACTTCAACCTGTCGGGTGTGGGAAACACCTGCTGACACAGCGCCGCCGCCGTAGGCTAACACCGCTGCATTCCTGTAGGCCTACGACGAAGTGATTTCTTTTGATTACAAGCGAGTGTGCTGTGAAAAAATAATGTTCTACTTGAGCGTATGTTTTTAGTGCTTACAACAAATGAGACGATAGGCCATATGAAAGCCAGGCCGCTTCGCCACTGCTTGAACTTGTGCCTCCTCCGAGGAGCGGGCTGGTGGCTGCAAGGCGCCCTCCCAGGCGGCACGGGCCTTGCTCACCGGTGCGGACGCCACGAGGCGGCCAGCGGGCATCGACCAGACGTGGTTCTTGCCCTGGGCTCGCACGGCGCGCCGGGTGGCCCAGCAGCCCGGCTGGCCATGAGATCGTTTTTTGTGTCGGAGATACCCCGAATTATCCGGTGGGGAGGACGGCCGATGACATAGACTTTTTCTCTCGAGGCAGCCCTAGGTAAGCCCCCACGCACCAGAACTGCGTAGTTACCCCCCTCGGACCTGCGTGACCGACAAGCACAATTATCCGAGGGGTGGCGGGCGGGCGGGCCCGACAACCTGGGTCATAGCCAGACCATAACCAACATTCTTCAGAAGCCGGTACAGGGCTCAAATCGGACCGGGATAATTCGGGTATCTCTGAGATCGGCTGGGTCTTGAACATGTTATCGGGCGCCGCGGCCTTCTCAGAGCGCTCCAGGGGGACGCTCAGAGAGTCTTCCCGAACTCTCTGGGGCTATATACTGGTCCTGGCCCCGTCAGGCGTCAGGAGGCAGCTTCTGGGGCAACTAGTGCAGGCCACCAGGCCCGACCCGTCTGGAGGCAATGAGTCCAGACCAAGCTGGATTCAACCAAAGATACAGCCCGATTGATCGGGATTATTTGGGCGCCCGAGTTATCCGGGGTAACTCGGGTCTGGGGTAACTCGGGTTCGGAATCCCGAAAAACGAACCCGAGTTAGCCCTGACCCGAGTTACCCCTGATGATTCGGGGCCCTGAATTATGCCGGATTGGGCTGGTTTTCGGCCACGGATGTACCAGCGCCGATACCGAGTCTTAACCTCCCAGGAGCTGCATCCCAAGCAACGCACGGAACGGCGTGGGGAGAGGCCAGGGGCGAAGGATGCGGCACCAGGCGCGCAAGGCTCAGAAGGCGGAGTCTCATCAAGCCCCGGGGGGCGCACGAGGGCCTGGCATGCGCCGCATGCGCAGTCTGCCTGCCCAAACCTCCGACGTCCCAACTTGTTCAAACCATGCGTGGGTATCTGGGGCTCTCGTTCTGGTTTATCGCTCAGGTTTCGAGCCGCGAGTTGTTTTCGTGGATCTTGGGGGCTCGAAACGGGCCTCCGATGCCCAAAGTCAGATAGATCAGCAGTCCCCCAATCAACCCCGCCAACTATTCGAGCTGCAGCTCAGCTGTCTTGGAAGCTCGAGCCTCGATAGACAATGAGGAGGTTGGGCTGGGGATGGAGATATAGCGGAGGGGACGAGGGAAGGAGCGCGAGACGGAGAAAGGGAGGGATGGGTGAGAGAGAGAGGCAATAATAGGAGAGAGACATAGAGAGAAATAGAGAGAGAGAGAAGAGAGGGGGACGGGCAATGGAGACATGCAGGAGAGGGAAGGCGGGCGGAATAGCTAAGCAACAGAGAAACGCACAACGAGAGACAACTGAAGATGGGGATAATAGGTTGAACTAAGAAACGATGGTCGAGGAGACGGCAGAGAGTGCAATCATAGTACACAGGTCGTGGAATAGGACACCAGCATCGCGCACAGTCAGAGTCCTCCACTGTCTGCCCCGCCTGCCTGTAGTACCCACGTCTCGCCTCGACGTTAGCAACGCACGAGTCACGAAACTAAAGACACCACGACGGATAACGCGTCTCGGTGAGCTGAGGAAGGCTGGGCCCCTGGGCAAAGAGACGGTGTAATGGGCTATTGGAAGCCTCTGCCTGTGGACCCGCGCGCAAACAACGCGCCCGCTCTGGAGGCTGCCCTGTCTGGCTGTCGTCTCGACGTCACTGCTATGCTGCTGATCACGTCCTCGCACTGAGCATCGCCAGCGCGCCGAGACAACCGCAACAAGACTCTACGGCCGAACGCATCTGGAAAGATACAAGGTCTAAAAGACACAAGTCCACCGCATCCGCAGACCCAGGCACACCGGGAAACACCTGCCCGCAACGTAACAATGAACGAGAACGGGGGGCACATTACGTTGGCAAGCATCTGGGAAAACATGATCGAAGCAAACATACAAAAACGACCAATAATGCCAACATAATACGCATGTGCTGCAATCATGAACCAAACGCCATGCCTCGTCGGCCACGTACATCGTGTTGTCCCCTCCCATCCTTTGTGTCCGATCTGCTGAGAACGGCCAGACATTGTCGCTGACAACGACGTGATTCCGAACGATCTCAAGCGAAATCGCGCCTCGCCAAACCGTATCACCATCACTACTAAAGAAACGGATTTGCAACTCCCTCTTACGATGGGTCCTTACACCCTCCTGTGCTTGCCGCAAACCCGGACGCCTGCAAAGGCAAGTGCAGTGAAACAGGACATCCCCGATGCTGGACGCCCCGCTGCGGCGAAATCGCCCTCCTCACGGCAACCATCTCCGGTAACTGGGGGGGACGAACGTGTACCGATACCGATGCTGCTCGGACCTGTCCAGCGGTGCGGTCTGACAGCGGTTCCGATGCGAATCCGGCCGAGGCGACGAGAGCCTGCCAGGAGCCTCCCGGACGACACGCGAGGCACGTTTCTCTCCTCCGTGGTCAGGCCTCCGACTGTCTGTTGCCCGCCGAAGCGAGCTTCCGCACGACCGAGGTAGTCCTCAGGGCTACGGCGCGGGGGCGCAGGACGTGGAATTTTGCGCACGACTCCCCGCTCTGGTGGGGGGTGGGAGCGATAGGGACCGGGAGAGGTCCTTTTCTCTTTTGCCTAGAAGCACCGCGGATCGCCACCACACAGCCCGCCTTGCAAAGAACGCGCGCGCGCAACGACAATCACTATGGGCTCGCATCGCAACAGCGATCAGGCCACTCAACGCCGAAACCATGTGCACGCAACAGTCAAGGCCCAAATCCGCCATCGTCCCCCTGGCACGCGGATGCGTGGTAGAACGCTGTGCCCGTCCAAAGGCTTTTTCTGCTGAGCGAAGATGAGGAAGCCGAAGAAATTAAAGCTCACCACTCGCGGACAACCAACGTGGCACTCCATACGGAGCCCGCCGGGACCAACCACGAACCAAAGTGAAACCAAGAAGCCAGGAGCAAGGAGGATGAAAGGCGACGAGCAGACGGACAAAGAGGCTGGAGAGTGGGCAGCGTGGCTTCCAGAAGCGGCAACCACGGGCTTCGGCCGCATGAAACCCCGGCCCAAGCCGAGAGACAAGGAGCACCCGCCACTAGGAGAAAGGGGCATGATACGAAATACCCCATACTCGTGTCAACAAGCGGTTTCAAGTACCCTGCACTGTGACCGTCCACTTGCCATCTTTTACATGGACTAAGCCCCTCTCTTTCATGGCATACAGTGCGTGCTGGATACTCTTCTTCAGCTCCTGGCTCCCGAGCTCCTCCTTTCGAGGGTCCTTCCCAAAGGCAAGCAAATCAACTTCGCGTGCTTTCAATGGACGATCTGCCCTTAGAAGTGCAGACAGGAGACCATCTTAACTTGGGAAATTCAAACCTTCACTCGGAGTGAAGGTTTGAATTGACTCCCTGAATGAGGATGTGAGCCCCTTGGACGACGATGCATCCTCCAATTTCGGGCTCCCTGTGCCCGCGGCTTGGGTAAGTTGAGGGGCCAAGAGCTCGTCCGCCACCAACTGCAACTTAATAAGAGCTGCGTCTACTTTACGCTCGGGAGAGTTATCCTTTCGAATGCAAAGCTTCTTGGCAGACTTGAGCCAGAATCCCACGAATGACCAACGTGTCTCGTGAATAGGGTACGCCCTCAATACAATGAGCATATACTCCATGAGATCGCGGCCTGATTCGTCGTCTTTGCGCATCGTCCAATTATCTTTGGACTTCCCAACGCGATTGACCATCGCCTCAATCTGATAGCCGTGAATGTCTGAAATATTGTAGGCCTTGACGAGTCCTTTGAATACTCGAACCACGTTGCGAGCTCCAGGATATTGCTGGTAGAAATCGACCATGGCATCGTGAAATTTCTCGTTGCTGTAACAATGGTTGCCACCATCACCTTGCAATAAAGGCATAGAGACAGAGCTCGCATCAAACAGCCCCTTGTCCACTGTGCTCGCGATAAGGGCTAACCCTGTGTCGCTTCGAACGAAAACTCGGTTGCCTTGGTCGACGTTTTCACATGGGACACCCTACCATCGTTTGCAAGCCGCTTGGTAAAAGCATGAAGCTCACCCTCAGTGCGAGCCGAATTGCCGATATCCATGACGAAGTCAAGGTCTGACGACCTTATGTTCACACTGCGGCTGCAAAAGCCAACAACAGCCAAGTGGCAAGCCATCCAAGCACCACATTCCTTTACAACTTGCTTGATCAGCGTTTCTACCTGCCTGATTGCATAACCTACGCTCTCAACGTCTTGCTGCAGACCCTCAGCGAACTCCTTGAATTCCCGCTTCCTTGTAAGCCTGCTCTTGAGCTGCACAAGAAACAAGAGTTCTCTAGATTGGTCGACGATTGCCCCGCCCGCCTCAACCCATGAACAACTCGGCCTGTACGTCGATGCCACTCACGCAACATTTGGGCATTCAGCGGCTGCGGCCATGGTGCAACTCGGTTTGAGAATGCACCCCCGCTCGAACATACTGGAAGCGGCGGAAAACCACATATTGACAAATATGCACGCCGAATGACCCCAAGGCAGAGCAGAAACAGGAGGAACACTGCCAAGCGCCGTGAGTAGCCAGCGGTCAGATGCAAACAATGCATTGACAGAAACCAGACTGGCTACGGAGGAAGAAGTGGTAGAGTGTCAATCGCTGTCCGGTAGGGTGTACGAAGTTTTCTGAGGCCCGCCCCCTTCCCACCACACTTCCTTGCGTGCAAGACCCCCGCCCCTCTCGTAGAAAAAACGAAATGGGCCCGCGCTCTCCGGCGCTGAAACACGGCATCGTCATCGTCATCGTCATCGTCAGCATCATCATACCCATCATCAGAATCATCACCATCATCCTCCTAATCTCAATCCACGACCTTTCGCACCATAACCGCATACATAATCAAATGGTCTGCGCTCCTCATGCCACTACCCTCCGTGACAGAACTATGGTCCCGCTCTCCTGGAGACAAGATCCCTTGTCAAAAACTATGGGTCCGCGCTCTCGAACTTTCACGGCGACCGAAGCAAACTATGTGTTCAACCAAGGCTGCCAACATGAGGTTAAACTGAGGTGGTCGGCCCAACCACATACTACGCCTTAGGCGTAGCATCCCACTAATCCTGTTGTATCGTAGCAGCGATAGAGTGAAAGATACAGTATGGCCGCGTGAGCGGCAAAATGACATCCCAAGGGCTTGTTTTCCGTATAGATGCTTGGTCGTGCGCCGCAGAGTGGCACAGTCAAATCGGCGGCCAAACGCTGAGCCCACAAGGCCGCGGACAAACGCTCCTTGACTCTCGCCTTTGCCCTTCCTCCTTCAGAGTCGGGGGGAGAAAACGAAGCGTGATTCCGCGTCCGGCCTTATTCGGTACAACAATTTTACTGCAAAAGGAAAGCAGCAGCCAGCGCGCTCAAACCTCAGTAAATTGACCCCGCAACTTATTACTCCTCGGGTGGCTCAGATGTTCTCGTCCGGCCGGCCCTGTATGGGGTATGTCGCTTGAAATCATGTTTGAAAAATCGCATTCCGTCCATAACCTGTAGGAACATATCTCGGTCAATGCTCCCGTTGGTGTTATCATCACCGGTCATGTCACGAGCGTCACACCACTGCACAATATGCACGATACCGCGCTCCATCATCTGCCGTATCAAACTGATGTGACCCAGGAGGGTGCAGTCAGTCGGTTTCTTCAGGTCTTTACTTGACAAATACAGATTCCGCATCAATGGTCAGGGTGGCCTTTATGCTGAGGCCGCCCATACGAATGATATTTGTTCAACTGAATGGGTGTTAGCGGCCCTGCGTGGAGTTCGTGTAGCGTAACGATGGTGGGGATGGCAGTCCTCGAAATTATGGGCTGCTGCTAGCGCTTCAGCCGGATAGCTAGACCGGACCTGCAAGCGGTGAGACTTGCCGTGCGCGTCGACAAAATGGGCGAAAGGCTGACCCGCACACGCGTGCCCACGCCTCAGCAAGTTCGCCCCGCAAATAATAAAGCCTTTGACCTCATCGTCGGCATCGCCGTTTAAACGACGATAACCGGAGTCGCTGTGCAGGTATACCTCACCCGCTGGTACCATCGCGTTCTAAAAGTCTTCTGTGGGCAGGCCTGCTGCGTCCTGGTAAACGCGCTGAATCGTCGCAGTTGCATATTGGTCGGTTCCTGGACACGCTGCAATGATACAACATGCACCATGAACCATACTTGCGTGATGAGGGCGCAAGCCAAAACGCCTTTAAGGCTGACATACAGATCGGCGGCCCTATTCGACGCTTTAGCCTGAGCATCTGCGCCCGCGAGTTCGCGGTGCTGGGTGAGACGGACTTGTTTTGCATTTTCGCTTTGGTAAATGATAATATACCCGTCGATATTCTTAGCGCGCCTCGCAGCGCAATTGGCGCATCTATGCTTGTTGAGTTTACATACCCCAAACGAATCTTCAACACACTTGCCGAATTTACCAATGGTGTCCTCAATGCCGGCCATGTTTATACCATTAACACGCCTGGCAATGAGAGGTTGGTGCTCGTCTCAAACTCCTCGTCGTCAGACGTGGGTCTGAGTCCAAGAGGGGGCGCGTTTCACGGGCGCTTGCTTAAGGAACATTCGGCGGCGCGTTTCGAACCGGGGGGGGGGCCCCCCCAACGCTCGGCGCCGTCGATCAAAACCAGGGGGGCCCCCCCCTAAAAAAAACACCCCCCTCCGACCCCCCTTCCCCGCCTCCCAAGGAGGGAGGAGGGTTCAAACCCCCCGCCCCCGCCCCTCGGCGCCGGCGCCGGCGCTGGCGACCGCCCGCAGCGCCCACGGCGGGGACGCAGCGACGATGACCAGAGGGATGGGGGGGATTTCGAACCCCCCCACCCACCCCCCTCGCCGGCGCTGGCGGCGGCCACCAGCGCCGGCGCTGGCGCCGGCGACGGCGGGAACGCAGTGACACTTACCACCACTACCACCACCACGACTGCCACCACCACCACCGCCTCAACCCACCAACACCACCACCAACAGCACCACACAACCACCACCACCACCACCACAGCCATCACCACCACCACAACCACCACCACAACTCACCATCACCACCTCCACCACAGAAACCCACCACCACTACCACCAGCACCATAACCTTCACCACCACCACCACCGCCACCACTACCACCACCACCACCACTACCACCACCATCACCGCCTCAACTCGCCATCACAATCACCAACAGCATCACACAACCACCACCACCACAGCCACCACCACCACCACAACTCACCATCACCACCACAACCACAAAAATCCACCACCACTACCACTACCACCACCACCACCACAACCTACCACACCACCGCCACCACCGCCACAACCACCACCACTTCCAGCAGCACGACCCACTGCCACCACCACGAACCACCACACCACCACCACCACCGCCACCACCAACACCACCACAACCAACGTCCACAAACCACCGCCACAACCATCACCCACCACCACCACCAACACCACAAACACCACCACACCACCACCACACCACCAAAACCACCACCACTACAACTCACCATCACAAACCACCACCACAAAAACCCACCACCACTACCACCACCACCACCACCACAATCTACCAACAACACCACCACCACCGCCACAACCACCACCACTACGAGCAGCACAACCCACCACCACCACCACAAACCACCACCACACCACCACCACCACCACCCCCACCCCCACCACCACCAGCACCACCTCCACAAACCACCACCACAACCACAACCCACCACCACCACCACCAACCACCACGACGCCACCACCAGACCACCACCACCACATCTACAACCCACCACCACCACCACATACCACCACCACACCACCACCAAACCACCACCACCACCCCCACCCACTGCCACAACCACCACCACTACAACAAACCACCACCGCCACCACCACCAACACAACCCACCACCACCACAGCCACCACCACCGTTCTCGTCGACGCTCCGCGCCACCGCCGCCCGCCGCCGCAGGCGCCATCGCCGGCCCAGAAATGGAAATCGTCGCCCCCGCCGCCGTCGCCGCAGCCGACGCAAGCGCCGTCCCGAATGTCCCTGAAGGCTCTTGGCGCATCTTCGGTGCCTGCGCCTGGTCTGAGGCACTGTAGACAGTGTCTTGACTCGTCATGGCGCTCGAATCCTGGGAGCGATCTGAGTGCAGATGCTGACCCAGGTGGCGGGATAAAGCACGATGCGCGCTCCTTCTGAACCGGTTCCCTCAACGAGCTCTTGATATACGAGCCCTTTCAGGAAAGCCATGTTGATGTCATGGGAATGATCCACTGCTTCCTGCACGCTGCAGCGCTGGCGAACAATCGCAGGCTTGGCCACCGCGCCGTTCCTGAGAACGCTTCTACGCCGAAAGCTTCGAGGCCCATGAAGACCGAAAGTACCATGCATAGCCTGAAGGTGCGTTCCATTCCGCCCTCTTCATCTTTGACGAATTTCCATTTGCATGCGTGTATCGAAGCCATGATGTTTGACGCGTTAGGCGCGTCTTGCATCTTAGAACACGCGTTGTCAAACCATGTCTTGCATGCAGTAGATAGGGCCTTCGATACCTTGAACGACTGGATTCGCCTGGATATCTGCCTGCGCGAGCAGGTTGTCCTCCACGGCGACGGCAACTCGTTTAGCTGCAGCGGTCACAGATACTCGCATCGTAGCAACACGGTCGACGTCAAGCATCCTAGGTTGTTATTCGGGCAATATTGCCTTCGACATCTCTGCCCGGAAGCGGAGCTCCACATACTGTCCGTGCCTGTCGGGATCTAGTCTCTAACTGTCGTCGTCGTCCGTGGAACACACAGGTATATGATGTGTTTGAGTTGTGTTGGCACTCTGTGGGTTACCCCGCGCAGGCAATTG